TGTGTGTGTTTTCCTGTGGTTTACATCAGTGTTTGCTAACTGTGCTCCAAATTATGCTACCCTAATACATGTTAATATTTTACACTTCTCCCTCCTAGACTTAACATAGGACGATAAGTATGACCACAGCTTGCCCACCAGAAACTCAAAAGGACTGGTACTACCTCTGTGGAACTCCAGTTAACCTCCACCCATAGTTACTGCTGCTTTTGATTGCTCTTTTCTTCTTCTCACAGCTACACTCTTTAGTGAAGTAACTGCTTTTTATTCAACTCTGCCATTTCAAAACTACTCAGTTATTTCTGACTGAAGCCCTGTAATCAAACAAAGCAGCACAGTGTGTATTTATCAAGCTTCTTGTAGCATTACAGGCTGACTCGGTTCCACCTTTCTCATCCAGCGTGGGTCCAAGCTCGGAAGTAACCTGCTCAGTGCACATAGTGACTGATCCTTCCTTCCAGCAGGGAGGGGCTCTGGGCAGGAAGAACTCAGACCAGCATAAGAAAAGATGATCTTGCTCTTTATCTCACTGCACCACTTTACAGCATCGGTGAGACTTCCCTTCCCATAACAATTAACTTACCTGAGCAACCACTGCAAACCTGCAGAGCTGAGAAACACTGCCCTGCCCTGCACATTCCCTGGCTGAACCCAGCTGGCAATTTTATCACAACACTGTAGTACTCACTGCTCCCCTCTCTGGGGATTTTTAATTCTGCTTCAAACATTGAGCTAGTAATTCAGTGACACCAGTAAAGTTCATGCTAACACTGCAATGACTCAACCTTTTCTAAAATACACAGTGATACCCAAGTCTTTCATCTCCAGTGATAAAATCATTTCATTTCAGGAACAATTCTCCTAATTAACCAGGACGTGATTTAAGCCATTTCATATGTAATACTGCAATAGCCTACTGCAGGGAATAACAAATACACCGTCTTTTCATTTCTACATTCTGAAAATCTGCAATGCTCCTCAGTAATACTAAGAATGTACTAGCAGTGGCTCTGCAGTGACTCTTCATAGATTTAAGATCTACATTTAATTTTGTGCCAGTGTTCCCAATAACCCTTTTCTGTACAATTATACATTTTGGCTGCAAAAATATTTCAAAATAGCATGTAAAAAACCCCCTTAGGTTAAGTCTCTGAAATAAACAATGCTTTGAAAACCCCAAAAACATAATTTCCATTTTATTTTTTTCTTGGAATATTGCATGTACTATTCAATTACCCTGCTCCATTTCATTCTATTTCCCTGGTCTTTTTTCAAAAGAACTGTACAACAATACATTTTCACAAGTGAACCTCAGCTCTTGCTAAGGTTGAATTGCATCTTACAACCTAGAGAATGATTTGGTTTATTAACTTGCAGTGCCACCTAGCAAGCATCCTTAAAATTTTTTTCCTGATGCAGTTTTACAATGGACAGCTTAGAGCTTTCATATTAACAAAAAGAGACAAACTTGTGCTTGTGGGATTTTTAAGCATCCAGTGAACACTTTTTTTTTTTTTAACAGTTAAATTTCTATGAGAAATTATGCTTACAAATAGGATAATAATAAAGATGCTCATACACCTAAAATTGTGGTATACAAACTTTGAGAACTAGTTTTGGACGTATCCCTTAGACATTTGTTCATAATTCGTTCCATTAATTGTTGGGGGATTTTTTTTAAATCATACACTTCAATAGCTGAATTTATTGGAGTTTTGAGATGAGAGATCCCTGCCACCAAAATAAGGAGGATTTTGGCTTGTCAAGGCACATTAGTACCCTGTATGCAGACACCTTTTAGACTTGCCTGAAAGCTAGACCAGCTTGATTTGCCTTGCCTTAAAATAATAACCATCTCACAAACCAAGCTGAGATATTTAACTCTGTGCCTGAACCGTGAGGCTGTCCCACAGACCTACATGTGGGAGACAGTACAATGCAGCAATTCAGAACAAATGCTGCAGCCACTTTTGCTATAACCCTAAACCTCTACCAGGAAGCTGCTTCCTGTTTAGTTCCTGTGCCAAATTCTAGTAAACCATTTAAAAGATAATATAACCAAACAAGGAAAAAGCAACTTCATGACATCAAAAGCAAAGGATGAAGGGAACACACTGTGCTGACTGACCTTATCCTTTCTGATAACACATCTTAGATCAACTCCACTACAACTCCTGAATAAAGCAGCTTCTCTTCATTCACAATGTCAACATGTACCTGTATTTAGACAGCAATGCAAAATGATAAAGTTTTACTGATTCTCTTAAGGATTTCTAAGTAGATTTCTGCTATTGTACTTCCTGGTGAACAGAAAAATCACTACATGTTTCATAGAGCTCAAGAAGTAAAGCAAGTCAAAACAAAAGGTAAGTTCCCAATAATAAGAACAGTTTGGGCTTTGTTATGATCCTATGACCTTTGATTCTTCAGCTTATCTCCAAAGAGTCCAGCACCGTGTGAGGACCATATTTACAGGAAGACTTGTGTATCACTTCAGCAAGCCAAGGGGAAAAAAATAAATTAAACTTAAAAAAAAAAAACCCAAACCAAAACAAAAAAACCCACAAAAGCACCAGCATATAAAGAATGAAATTTTGACAAGCACTATGGACACCATCTTTCTCCAAGATGCACAGCAAACGTTTCTGTATTTGCTGAGAATTGCTATCCTAAGTCAAGGAAGAGGTGGGGTTTTTTTCCAAAGAAACCTACATTTTACATACTCTCCTGAGATCAGAACTGAGCCACTAGTTCTTTCCAGAATAACTATCACTGCACTGTGCAGCCCAATTAGTTTTGCATAAAACTCCAGACTCCCCATACTTTTTCCGACTCCTCTTTAAGCAAAAATAACATGCATTTCAGATGCTGTACTACTAGAGCTTTGGACCTTAGTCCTTGCAGATTGGCAAGAATGGTTTTTCTAAAAAGCCATTTTAACAGAAAAGATCCTTCAGAGTTTGTCTCTCATTAGTCTGACTTGGTGCATTTACCTTTTTTTTTTTTTTTTTTTGCCAGTTTTGATATTGTTCTAAGTTTTTGGTTCATTTTCATTCATCCTTATCACTGTTTTTCCACAGAGTTCTCCAGAACCTTGAAGCCTTCCGTTGTTTTCTATACAGCACAAAGACTCGCGGTCTGGTTTCCTGCTTGAAAATATAGTCCAAGAAATGCAGTTACAAATTTGCTACAAAAAAACCTTCACCACATAACACAGACCTTAACGTCATTTCCTTTTTCATTTCACAGAGTTTGTGTACTTGTGCTGCTAAAATGTTGCAACAAGGGAAAAGACTTTCACATGATTTCTACCCACTGGAAGTAGCACTCAGATTTACAAAGTCTTTCCCCTCTCCCCAAGTCCATAGGTTCACCTCGCTTTGAATGACTGAAACGGAATCACTTTTCCAGGCCGGGTGGACAGGTGACACCATCCCCTGTTCAGCACTGGCAGGCTGCATATTCCAGAATTACTGCCACTGTTACCTTTTCTGGTTCAGTCTCTCCTTGACATTACAGTAGAGAAAGAAAAATAGAAACATAGCTCAGGCATTTCGAACAAGTCCTTCTTGTTTCTAATTCCCAAAAGCTGAAACCCAACAGAAGCCACGTGTTCTGACAGAATCAAGGCTCCACAATCTGTCTTAAAAAGTCTTGAGTGATGAATCCCTCAGTACACACCACAAAGTGCTAACGCTTAAAGTCATGGCCTTCAATGTTTTCCTTGTCCTCTACATTGCAGGAGATAGGACTGTGCATTTATAAATTCACAGAACTGTTTCCTCCTCAAGAGACTAAGATTATTATCGCTGGAACCCATGCTGTGTCATAATAAAGTAGGCGGTGTGGATTTCTCAGATTTATTTTACTAAAATATGTCTTTTTGACTATTAATTATAATTATACTAATTTTTTTTTGCCCTTGTATAATGCGAAGATTAGTCATGACAGGTGATTTTTCCTTTTCCTTCTCAGAAAGTAAAGGAAATCCATACCTTAATTAATATAATAAAAAGATAATTACTATGCTTAAGTGATGAGGACTCAGGCAGCTCTCTATTGAGAAGCTATTTATTTCTCTTTCCATTCAGTCAATGAGAACTTTTAGATACACGTAGCTCTTCATGCCAGTTAACAAAGTAATGCAGTACAACTGGGGATACACAACTACCACAATAAGGAGAAAACCTATGAAATAGTCTTTGTACTTGCAGAATGGAGGCCACAAATCTATTTTTATCTCTCTCATCTCTGCTTCATCTCTCAATCTCTGAAATCTTCCAAGCCCTCACAAAAGCCTCTTCTGTATGTTTTACAAACTTTCTGTGCTCAAACTTACATGTTATTAACATTTAAACTCTATTTCTCTATACAAGTTGGGGAACACCCTTTTTTTGCCAGTCAATAAGTGCAGATGGATGGCCCTGGAAGTTCTCAACAGAACAACCTCGCTGCAGGCGCTGTGACTTGCAGTGAGCACTTCTCTTTCACAATACACAATGCTTCTAGAGAGAACTAAAAGATGTTGACCAAAAGAGTCTTGTCAGCATTGTCTTGGCAATTCCCTATGAAAGGCTTAACAGTGCTACTGACCAGCTAGAGATTAGCAGTTATTTATTGTTTTTAATCACTACATGCATTGTTTCAATTTGTTAGCCAGTTAGGAGGAGGAGTAAAAACTTTCAACACTTGGCTCCTGTGCTTTGTCAATCTCCTGGCTATAATTACTAATTAGAAGTCATTCTCACTTATCACATACACAATTAAGCAGTTATTCCAAGCTTTCACCATTAAACAATAACCAAGAAACGCATTTCTTTCAATTTCCATGGATAGTTTCACATTTTTATAAAAATAGACATCTACAAACATACATAATTTAAAAAAGCAACATGGTATTTCTACCTCCTGTTTTATCCACGATATACTCATTACACAGCAAAGATGAAACTCTATGGGATTCACTATGAAAATCTGTAAATTTTTCACCATTTCACTTTCTAATACTGGGGAAATGTTGGGTCAATTTTACTGGCCCAAGCCATGAGCCCCCCTTTAATATCCTTAGCTAATACAGAACCAAATTCTTTGACAGGTAACTCCTGCAGAATTCTTACAGCCTTCTGGGAATCGTTTCCTAATTTGCAAACGACATATACAGGAAAAGATGCTTGGCCGTTAGTTCTCTGCTTTTCTTCACAAATTCTTTTTTCTAAATATTCCAGACATTCTTCATCTTTTTCTTCTAATTTACTCAAAGGAATGTGGACAGCGTGGTCCAGGCGACAGATATCCACTTCTACCTGCGGGCGAACATCTAACAATACATGAGGAACTTGCTCATCCAACAGTTTTTTGTACTGTTCTACAGATATCCTGTCTTTACTGGACAGGAGATGTAAAGTCCTACACTTGTCTGTTGCAGAAGAACCACAAAACGCCTCATAATCCTGAAGGCAGTTGACAGACGGTTTGTCACCGCAAACGGCACAGTCTGGTTTCTTTGGTCTCAACTTGATGTTGCGAAATCTCCCTTCATGGGCATCAAACATCATCATGAACTGATTGAAGGAGGAACCCATTCCCGAGGCAATTTTCAGCACTTCCAAGGCCTGGATGCACCCCATGATGCCCGGCACGACACCCAGCACTCCCCCATCCGCACAGTTAGTCACCGTCTCTGGTGGAGGGGGCTTGGGGAAGAGACACCTGTAGCAGGGCCCTCCCTGGTAGTTGTACACCACCAGCTGCCCCGCCAGCCGGAGGGCACTGCCGGACACCAGGGGCTTCCCAGCCAGAACACAGGCGTCGTTCACCAAGTACCTGGTGGGGACGTTGTCGGAGCAGTCGGCGACGATGTCGTACTGCCGCACCAGCTGCAGGGCGGTGCCGGGGCTCAGGGCACCGCAGTAGGGCACGTACTGCACCG